TCCTAAATTTTCATTATATTTACTATTTAAAAAAAAATCAGAATGTCCAAACCTAATCCGGAGTCGTCACGTGTATAAATGAGACCGTCTCATCCGACTCTTTACGCTGATCCGTCTCACATAAAAGCAGCATGTTCCACATTTTTAATTAAATTTTTTATTCATTTTTTTCGTGTGATACCGACATGAGTATGACCGTTAAGCATGGTCTTAAATCCAAGCAACATCAATTTATCTTTGACTGAATCATCATTACTTGCAACATGAAGGCGAAAGAACTTTTACATATTCCATCGATATATTAGCAATCAAAAGTATTTAAAGTGAGAAACAAGAGAGGAATAGCGCAGACGACAGATTTCTGAGCTCTATCTTATTCACCGGAGAACGAAAATCGATTCATGTGAGGTTATATCAGTCAGCGGTAAGTATCAGATCTATGTTTCTCTTCCTAAGATATGAACGAAAAATATGTGCTATATATGTGAATGTTGAAATACCCCTCCCAATCGGAGACATGTAAATCAAAAGCCACGAGAGAATTGTTACATCCATGGGTATAATTGATTGGATAGCCGAGTCGAGAATCTTGAAGTATACATTATGTTAAATTTATTTTTGTCATCAATCCAGTTATATTGATATTTTCGTTGATGTTCTTTGGTAACAATTTTATTTTCTACATGGTTAGATCACTTAGATGACTTTTAGATAATGGTCTTTGTTGAATCACAAAGACATGGGTTTTTTGCTTCTTTTAGGATCTAATTAGAGGTATGCCATCTATATTATAGACGACTTAAAAAAGAGGAATCATCTCCACGATGGGAGGAGAATAAGGAGAGGTGGTGGAAGTATGGGTAGAGTGATTGATGAGGGAACTTCAAAACATTGTGGTCGTGTATGTTGTCCATGTGCATGCTAACATCAATTACCATCTCAGTCTAAAAAGAAATATAGATTGTTATCAGAATTGTGTTAAAATGTAAAAATATAAAAAGGAAGACAGAGGAGTAGAGATGAGTTTGATAACTGTTATAGTGATTGGTGGCAGAGGGTTGTCACCTTTGAGCTTTTCAAACCAAAGGGGAAAAGCTTATATGTTATTGTTTACTCTTTGGTCCCTCATTTATTTTTCTTAATCCTGTAAATTGGAAAAAAAAAATGAACTTTGTTTTGGGCATTAGATGGAATGATGTACGAAAGATTGAGGTGTTTACCTTCAAAATTTTTTGTTTTTACCTCAACTATAACTTGATTCATGGTTAATTAGTATGTAATTTTATTCATTTGAGTTTCATGTACGATCTAAATGAGCAACAGAGTGCATGGTGGGGGGTAAGGTCAAGTGAATGAATAGAAGCGAAGTAAATGATGGGTTATAGTGTGGACGATGATCATCTTCTGCTTGGTGAACTAAATAAATTTTTTTCTTTATATTTTTCTTCTTGATTTACTATGCATTCAAGGAGAAGAAGTGTCTAGACAGAAAAAAAAAAATAGTAGAGGTTTGAAGGAATATTTTTTTTTTGCATGATATCAAAAATATTTTTCAGTATGTCATCGTTAACTTATTTTTTGCATTCGAGCTGGCTTTTGGTTGAATCAAATTTGATGAGTGTTGAAATTTTTTGTTCAGGAAACTCAACAAATTCTTTACAAAATATGATGGCTTGATATAGGTGCTTAAAAACAGAAGTAAACATACATAATGTGGGCCAATATCGTTTGGTTTATGATTAAGAACTATAGCAGATTAACAAACACTTGACGTTTTCAAAGGAAAGTTACAACATAATTTACCCATATTTTACAAGAATGTTAAAACAATTAGATATATAATATCAAATTCTAAAAACACATTTTTTAGAAAATGCATGTTAATAATCCCGCGGATAATCACCTAGTAAGATATAAAAGGTTGGCAAGATTTTTACATGCACATATCGCCATATCGGTGAAGAATTGAATGCAACTTATTGTTATACAATGGCAAGTTGTGTCGAAGTAATGTAAAAGATTTTCTTTAACACGTGTCAGCGAGGATTGCAATTTGCAAATCACATGTTCAAGCACAATGCATGGGATATATTAGTCTATACTCTATAGATTAGATCCACATTTAAAAACAAATGATGCAGAATAGTTAAATGTTAGAAATAGACAGCACTCTGATAAACCAGATATGTCATGCAAAATTGATATATTATATTGTGTAGAGTACACAGAATAGGCGTCTACGCACAGTATATAACATAGATTGTTCTACAAACGACAAAAACAAAAAAATATTGTTCTACAAAAGTTTCCTGAAACTTCCAAATGGCACACAAGATCATATCCAACGTCTAGATATCAAATAATTTCACTCAAGATCATTTTTACTCAACTGAGAGTTGAGTCTCTTGTCAATACAACAACGAGACTGTTTTTCTATAAGCGTAAAAAATGTCAATCATAAACATTTTGTGTAGATCTATATAAATTGGATTGAATTGTTTACGATAAATCGTTTTAATAACAATTTTCAAAATTTGTTAATAAAAATATTAAATTTGGATTGAATTGTTTACGATAAATCGTTTTAATAACAATTTTCAAAATTTGTTAATAAAAATATTAAATTCACACGATAAAAAATAATGGCCAAAATCACAAACAAATCAAGAAGAATAAGAATTGAAAAAAGACTTTTGAGAGCTTTTTTCAACGAAAAAACTAACGTGTCTAACAAAAATATATATTGTGCAAAATTTTAGAAGATACCAAATTATATTATATTTAAAACAAAAATGTAATATAATATTCTTATTTTTTGACATATCTAACAATTATCTAATTAATACTTTTTCTAAATAAAACAATCGTACCATTTTTCTTGTTAACCCTCCAAAATTTAAGTCATCTCACTAATTAATGACTAATTGACTCCAAACAAATTCCCCAAAAAGACATAATACATATGAGAGATACGTATCGTATTATACTATTTCAACCAAAATCAAATCTACCAAAACTAATTTTCGTCAACACAAAGCAAAAACCTACCAACAAATTTAATTGTAAAAAAAAAAACAGAGTAAGAGGAAATTTCCTGGAAGTTGCGTAGTGTGTGGACCCAACCTAAAATCATTACAGAGTCGCCACCAATTTATACAAACCTGACACAACACTCGCAGATGGAAAAACAAAAAGAAACAAAGTATCAAAGAAGCTATGGGGAGTATCACAGAGCCATGGTCAATCGCCGAGAACGGAAACGCAAACGCGACCGCTAAAGGTTCGAGCAGGGAGCTACGACATGGGAGAACGGCACACAACATGTCGTCTTCGTCGCTAAGGAAAAAATCAGACTTGAGAATGATTCAGAAAGTTCCATGCAAAACTCTCAAGAAAATTCTCTCAAATTTCCAAGAAGTCATTCTTGGTACTAAACTCACTGTCTTGTTCCTCGCCGTTCCTCTCTCTATTATCGCCAATTCTTACCACTACGGTCGCGTAAG